TTTGCAAATTTCGTATATGTATATAAGCAAATGGGATGTGCCTATTATTAAACATATATATATATATATATATATATATATATATATATATATATATATATATATATATATATATATACCGGCGAGTAGTGGTTCCGAAAAAATGAGAAACGGAACTGGCACTTCTGAGGCGGTTCCAGTTTTGAAAGCATGTACCTTGTTTCGGTGCTCACCCCTAATGTCATATTGTATATCTTTTTCTTGTTAGGATAGTGGTACTGTTAGAGTGTGGGATGCTAGTCAACTAGGATAGCCCCTTCTTGTTAAGAATGTGCGTAGGACACTTGGTCTCATGGTATGCTAGACTGATAGAGTCTTGCATGAGGATTATGTGATACTGCTAGGTGTCATGATTGGTTACGGTAATGATAGTGTTTTCTGTTTATTGAATGATTACCATAAGGGTTGTATGCATTCAAGGATGATATCTTGAGAACTCTTGGCCTAATGCCTGACTGCATGGTTCTTGTTTGATTTATTGCTTTTGGGTGCATCATCTATTTGACTGTCTATCTGATTCTTGACTATCTATGGTTTTTGTATTGTATGGAATACCAAGATTTGGCCCCTAGCAATTGTACGGAATACCAGGAAGTAGCTCCTATGGGCTCGTTTACTCCTTTGGTTGGGCCCGTTACGTATGGTTGGGTTGGGCTTATTATGTATGGTTGGGTGGGGCCCGTTACGTATGGTAGGGAAGGGCTCATTATGTATGGTTGGGTTGGGCCCGTTATGTATGGTTGGGCAGGGTCCGTTATGTATGTTTGGGCGGGGCCCTTATGTGAGTTGGGTTGGGCCCTTTGTGTATTAAATATATATGTGGATAGGAGCTTCGGTTGCTCGGTGCTATAGTCGAGTATTGTATGTGGATGCATTGTATGTATGGTGGAATATGTGGTATACTGGGGAATTCACAAAGCTTTATGCTTACGGTTGTTGATTAAATGTTTTGCAAGTTGTTCGGGAGATGAGCTCGGCGGACTGTACACATGCATCGAAGATATTCGTTTCCGTGGTTTTGTAAAATTAATTTCAATAATGTATGGTTTCAATCAAACAAATGTTACTCACTGGTTTTAAAACAAAGATTTTTAATTAGTTAACCTATTTTATGAACAAAAATCTCCTTGTAATTCTTGGGACGTTACATTAGGCTTACATAAAGACTCTCATCATAATCGCCCATGTTGTGTAATTAGTTTTGGATAGTAGGGATAATGAAATGTAATCTGACCGTCTTTGTTGTTTTTTCACTCATTGATTTCACATAGGGTTGATATTTGGGCATTCACCAGGTTGTACTCTGATACCAAGTGATTGAGTTGTCCATTTAATACAACCCACTACACACATAAAATAAAACAACAAGAACTATAACAACCCTTTTGTTGTGTAATCTGATTGGGAGGAAGATAGAAAAGATATAAGAAGAATCATCATCATAGGAGATGGGGAATATTGCATCTTATTAATTGAGAAAGAATATAAAGAACATTCGACTCCTACCTAGCTATATAGGTGAACACACCAACAAAACAGGAAAATATAACAACCCATTTATGGGTTTATGCAACCTACAGCCACGTGACTTTGACTCTATCCCAAAAGGAAATAAAAAATGACTAAACTACCTTTATTGTTTTCAGATTACTCAAACGACATGGATAAGATAGTGAAGGTATATGTTGCGCGGAGAAGATGAGGGGTTGTAGATGATCAGAATATGATGACTATGGAGCTATGATGGTTGTGGAGAGATAATGTTTCAGATCAACAATCGAGCTCTCCCTTAATTTTGATCTACATACTTTGAAAAATTCTCCATTCAAGTTTAATTGTAATCCCTCCTTATTCTCTATTCTTGTACATATCCATTTCAACATTATGCATCTCTGTAGCTATAATCTTGGGTTCCAAATTAAATAAGATAATTAAAATATAAAAATACTAAAAAGGAAAAGGAAAACATAGAAAGTAATATGGTCTTTTTCATATGGATCATCACAATCGGTGCAACAAATACAAACCATAAGGATCTGCCAAACAAAAACTCAATACTAGGACCAAAATTGTGAATTTGAGCTAACCATAGGGACAAAATGTATATAATTTACTCTATTTTATATTAAATGAAAATGCGACCATTAGTACCCTTTCACTTATAAGTCATTACCAAATTCTTTTTTCATAAAATTCCCCATATCAAATATGTCTTCCGTATAAAAATAGGTTATCTTGTTTGATTGTTTACATAAAAAAATTTAATGAATGACAACAAAAATTATCCAAACATAAACAAACTTACAGCAAAATTTTGACACTAGACAAAAAAAAAATATTCAAACAATGTCATTCATAAATATGCTTATAACAACAAATTACTCAAACATATGTTAGTATACACACTTAAAACAACAATACGAACACTTTGACAAAGAAACTATCCGAATGCTATACTCATAAACACATTTAAAACAACAATTTGAAACTCTGACTAAAAAAATCCAAACATATGTTATACTAACAAACAAACTTAAAACAACAATTTAAAACTTGCCAAAGAAAATATCCAAACATATGTTATATTGATAAAGACACTAAAAACAACAATATATACAAACATATGTTACGATGATAGACACACTTAAAACAATAATATGACACTTTGACAAAGAAACTATCCACACATATGTTATACTGATAACCACACTTAAAAAACAAACACTTCGACAAAGAAACTATCCAAACATATGTTTATTGGTAAACACGCTTAAAACAACAAAATAGCCAAAAATATGTTGTGTTGATAAACACACATAAAACAACTCGACTCTTTGGCAAACAAACTATCCAACCATATGTTATACTGATAAACATTTTAAACTACAATTTGACACTCTGTTATATAAACACACTTAAAATAACAATGTGTCACTTTAACAATGAAAATATACAAACATATGTTATACTATAAACATACTTAAATTAACAATTTTACATTTGACAAAGAAAATATCCAAACATAACAATGTGACACTTTAACTATGAAAATATCCAAACATATGTTATACCGATAAACATACTTAAATTAACAATTTTACATTTGACAAAGAAAATATCCAAACATATGTTATGTTGATAAACACACTTAAAACAAAAAATTTCCAAGCATATGTTATGTTGATAAACCCACTTAAAACAATATTTTGACACTTTGACAAAGAAACTATCCAAACAAAGGTTTTACTGATCCAAACAAATGTTATACTGATAAACACACTTAAAACCAGTGTTTTAAACCTAGGTCGAACCGGTTAGACCATATACCGTTGAAGAGACTGGGTAAACTAAGAGCGAGTTTTTGTCTATTTATGAATTGGATTGAACTGACCGATTTTTCAATAATATCAATTGAACCGTTGATCCGACTCGTGTACAAAAACACGGATTAAGCCTAAACAACAATTTGACACTCGTATCGTATGTGAACATTTCCTGCTTGAAAACAACTTTATGACATGTTAAACCTGTGTACCAAGACATTTCCAATGTCACTTTACATGTCAACTTATTGACATTCGTAATTATAAGCAAAAATGTCAATAGCTTTAATAGGATTTCTATAGATCAATATCCGCTAAAATAGAAAGAAAAAATGTCAATAGCTTTAATGCAAAAAATAAATTTCAAAATGATATTTGGATCATAATTTGCGTAGTCTTCAAGAACAGAATTACTTTGGAATCCCGTTGCAATCCTTTTAAAAGTTCCAATCCCTTCAAACTTGGATTTGGTATCTTAAAAACTGAACCGCAACCTAAAAAGTTCTCAGTTTTGCTTTTGAGAGGGTGTTTGGGATTGTTTTTTAAATGACTTTTTGACTTTTGACTTTTCCAAAAAGTCAAAAATTTTAAAAGATGTTTGACATTTGCAAAAAAGCCCTTTTGAAATTTAACTTTTTGGCAAAAATGAATAAGTGGTTTTTCAAAAGACAAGAAATTGTAACTTTACATTCTTAAAAGATAAATTACTTTAAAAAATCAAGAAATATTAGACAAACACTTTTTAAAATTGACTGTTGAGTTGTGTCCCCTTAAAAGCTAAAAAGTTCTTTTCCAAAAAAAAAAAAAAAAATCTTTTGAACTTAAAATCCCAAACACCCTCTCATTGTCTCTAAAGTCCATCAAAATATAATTCATTGTTTAAATATAAATGACTTGTTTTGAGTAGAGGTGCACAAATGAACCTTTTATTTTAACCGGTCCAACTGAACCAGACCAATTTTTTCCACAACCGGTTCAGCTAAAACCAAACTATCGGTTTCATATATGTTTTTAAAAAAATTGCAAACCGGTTTTTTACCCCATGTTTTTGTAACCAAACCAATTTTTAACCAAAAAGAACCGTTTTCACTCACTTTCACTTCAAAAGAAACCAACCAAAACAGTTAGATTTTAACCGAAACCAAATAGAAAAAATACAGTAAAATACCAAACCGGTTTTTTAAAAACAAAAACTGGTTTTAACCGGCCTTTGTTTACCTTTAGTTTTGAGCATTAGATCTCGTTTGTAAGGTTGTACTGCATTGACTAAATGTCTAAATCTAAAGTTAATATTTTTTGGCCACATGAAAAAGATGGGACGAAGACTCATCATTGAAAACAAAGCTATAAAAGTTATGTTCATTTCATTCAGAGAAGTCGATGTATGGAAATTAATAGGATTTACCAAAGATATATGGAAATTAATAGGCTTTAGTGATCACAAAACTTATGATTTGTATACACAAAAGCTTACTCCAAAGTTTCCCCAATTATTGACAAAAAAAGAGTTAAACAAGAACAAAATACAAACCAAAAGCATGTACAATCCCCAAACTTACAAATTGGGCAGGGCAGGTCAACTTCACTTTATGTTCCATACAAGTTTTTGATTTTTTTTTTCAAAAAAAAAAAAAAAATCATTTATCACTTGACCATTCCCTTAATTCAACATACACTTCCTTTAATTTATCCTCAAAAAATATATATTATATATTATATATCAGCTGCAAGTTATTCTTCAATACCCTTTTTAAGCATCCCCTTTATCATTCGCAACCAATCAACCATCTGATTACCATCACACAAACAAACATCATAATCACATCACTCACAGTCATGTCAGATGTAAATCAGATACAATGTCAGATGTAAATCAGATACAGTTAGTGGCCCACATTGGAATTGAAACTTAAATAATTAAAAAAGTTGGTACCTTGAGTATATATATATATATGTGGGCCACAATGAAACATCTAAAGATGGAAGTGTTGTTTTATGATGGGGAATACCTAGCTAGCTACACCAAATATCCTGCACACTATAAGACCAAATGTGGGTCCCAAAAGTTTAAATTTGAACGAAACTTGGATGCTATTATTGTATTGTAGGAAAAAGCTAACCTGGAAGCTAAACATGGTTGTTCATCTTATGCGCATACGGTTGAGGAAGTCTGACAGCCTGTTTTTGAGATAGATTATTAATATTTGTATTTTTTTTTTTTTTAAAAGAGAGAGAGAGAGAGAGAGAAACCTGATATCTTTAGCAATGACTGTCTGTCCATCTTCAGCCCCAAGATGACGCAAAACCACGTCTTCTAGACGCCCATCACGATACGCATGCTGGTGATATGCAAAAATTAGCAATGTACTTTCATATTGTAAACCATTGATTTATTTTCTATTAAACAAACTTAAATAAAAAAGCTTTCTATCGTTTTTTAATTGATTAAATGCTTGAAATATATTGAAATAAAGAACATTCTATCATTTTTAACTGCTTAAAAACATAGAAAACATAAATATACTTATAGGAGAAGAAGATAAGCTTCTTTCCATAAACCTTACACATGAAATTGATTAGGATATATAACAATTACCTAAATCAAACATAAAATTTAAAAGATTCAGAAAATCAAAAAACATAGTTTCTAACTGAACTAAAGGCAATTAGTTCAAGGGAGGATTTGTTGAAAGATATGTTAAGTCAAAGTTCTTACGGGTTTTTTAAGATCTTTAGTCCATTGAGTGTTTTAAATTTCCTGGCAAGATTTCAAGCTTTTTAAAGTTAGTCTTCTTTCTATAAATGTATCAAATCGCAGGCTCAACAGTGAATGTTTGTTTTTTTTTTTTTTTTTTAAAAAAAAAGCATCAAGTAATCTCTTTTTTCAACTGTAAGTGATGAGACATTTGAACATAGTAAAGACTTGTAGTGCACAAAGTAGTAACACATAAAACTAAATATCAACAATTAAAATCTTCAATTACCTTGTAAAAACAACTGGTTCCAAATGGGCACGTCCCATTTCCAAAGTCAAAGTGTCTGCAGTCAATAGACCTGCAAGAGGAGGAGGAATTAACTTTCATGTTTCTTTCATTATCATGATAGATGTGTTTAATATGAAAAAGAAAAGAAAAGTATATATATATTATTATATATATATATATATATATACCTGAGTCTTGCTTTGTAGCTATCTACAATTTCCTGCTTTTCGTCTTTAGTTGCATACCAAATGACACTAGGAATGACAAAATATGAAAGCTTCCTACAAATAGGGCAAGACCTCAAAGCAGAATTCACATCCATTCCAGATGTTGGAGAACTACTTCGCCAATTCCTGATACATGATATACAAAAGGGATGATCACATTCTGATAACAGCCCAAACTTTCTTTCAGCTGCTGTTGGTTTTGAAAGTACACGTTCAAGGCAAACACTGCATTCTATTTCTTGACTGTGTTTCAACGCCTCAAGATGCTTATGCTTCTTTTCACATCCCATTTTATGTTCTTCCCTTTCATCTGCTCTGAAAGGATGCAAACATTGTTTTCTGCATGTTGGACATAAATCCCCATGGAGATGAGGGCAAGTTTCTCCACGAGGACAATTACCAGCAGCAGCAAATGAACACATTACAATATCAGCTGGATTTGTACTTCTTGATTGCCCTATAACATCACTTATCAAATCATTCTGTCCAGAACCTTCAGCCCATGTAGGTTTTGCAGATGTGTAAGCTGAAAGCTCTCCGATAACAGCAATGGGGGATGCAGTTCCAGGAGTTGAAGATGCAGTAATAGATTCTGGAACAGCATATTGAAAAGGGTATGTGGATGAAGATGCAGAAGCTTGACGTTGAGGAACTTTAACATGGTCATATCTGCAACGGATACCATATGCACAAGCTCCTTTTTGATAAAATGTGCACACCTGTTGTAACAAAACCACCATGAGTGTTTAAGGAACAAAGTCTATTGGAAATGATATTAGAAACCTTACGTTATTAGCCGGGTCCTTCCAGTCATGTGAGAACTCGCAATGCTCCCCTTTCAAGCATGCTCCATGGGCAAAGAACTTGCAAAGCACCCTGCAAATTAGAAGATGAAGAGATGAAGCAGATACTAAGCCTTGAATAGGCCTTATAATCGCTCCTAATGAAGCCAGAAATTCATTAAGCTAGCAATTAGAAGATGGATAGAAGAAATTCTTTATATGCTATCATTGTTTCCGTCGATGATAGTTTGGGAATCTAGGGTTTACAACAGAAACACCGACCGTCAAGTTTCTAATTCTTGCTCATCATGAGAATACAAAAATTGGAAATACAAATTCAACTGAATTGAAAGGAATACCCTAATCAAGGATAGTAATCACAAAGGAGCTTGTGCGTATGCCTAAACAAAACCTCGAAGGACCCAAATGGGCAAACGGTGCATTTCGTCAATTTGTTGGGCATACAGAAATTGAGATAGATGGAACATGAGGAGTCACAATCGGAATATACCTGGTTCGATTTCCCGGCAAAGACATGATCGAGAAAATTTCACCTTTCCACAATCTTCATCGGCGGACGTATTTTTTTTAGGTTAAACGAAGATGACAAGTTGTTGTTTCTTGATTCAGGATTTCTTTCTACATACAAACCTCCCCTCAAAGGCAACCTTCAGGTAATCAATATGAGTTAATTACAAAATTAACCTTTGACTATGTGTCAATGTCTAGTTTTCACTGTTTTTGACTTTTTTCAAGAGTTGGAAAAATAAAGAAAAGACAAAAATGCAAATATGGACCTTGAGGTTTGTCATTTTTTTTGTTTATGGTCTAAACCTTGGAAAATTTATGGATTCGGTCTTTTTCGCTTAGTTTGGTTGCGGATTTGGTTCATGTCAAAACTAAAAAGACAATTATATCCTTATGCTTTATTTTTATAATTTTTATATAATTGTCTTAATATTCATTACTTATTAAATTAGACAAAAAGCTCTACTCTCTCTCTCTCTCTCTCTCTCTCTCTCTCTCTCTCTCTCTCTCTCTCTCTTCTCTCCTCGTCGACCCCCATTGACCACTACCTAACCAAGCCACATCACCAAGTTAACCACAAACAATCAACACCACCTCTCTTCGTCGACAATCACCACAAACACGCATTGACATGAAATTTTCAAGACTTCACGATTTTTATAGACAACAAATATGGAATCTGGTAAAGTTGGATGCGAAGGAAACACAAATAGGATCCTACCATCGACCACCCTCAAAGCTTATATCAAGAATCTACATATCCATCTCTAACACTTAAAGATACCGAAAATCAAGAGTGGAAGAAGAAGAAGAAGAATGAATGAAAATTTTGCTCGTTCATCGAATTCATATTGATTTTGTTTTATTCTTTCTTTTTGTTTCTGGGTTAAAATCGATAGAGGTTAATCTTATTAATTTGATTTGACTTTAATTTGAATGTTGGGTTGATTTTCTTCATCTTCATACTTGCATATCTTAATTTATGGTGTTTTTTCTTTCTTCTTGTTTCTTAACGTTAAAACGAGGGCGGATAATCTTGGGTTGATTTTCCTCAACGCTTATTCTATGTAATGTCATGGTGCAACGATAAAGTGCTTCCCGATGAACCCTCTGGCCTAAAGCATACTCTAGAACATAGGGAAACTTACAAAGAGTTATGTTGAGCATCTTGTTAGGAAGCATAACTAGATTAGATTTTCCACTTGTTGGGAAGCATAAAATAAGTATCTAAAGGGTTATTAATTTATGAAGAGAATCATCATCCTCAAAGAAGAATGTTCGAGTTAAAATAATAAAACTCAGACTTCAATCTTAACAGATGCGGGGAAAAAACATATTCTCGGGCCCCTTAAAAATTGCCTCATATTATCTGTGTGAAGTTATTAACATTACAAAATCCAAATCTTACCTATTATTTCCATCTTTAATAAATTGAGAATAAAGTGTCATATTGGACGAGAGGCTCGGATTTGTAAATTTGTAATCGAGAAAAATATTTTGTTTACATTACAAATACAGATCTTACATCATCATGTTCATATGTCGGGAGAAAAGAGAGGGGGGGGGGGGGGGGGAGAGAGAGAGAGAGAGAGAGATTGTGTGTGTGTATGTGTGTGTGTTGGTCCCTTACTTCTTAATCAACAACAATAGAAATACAAATAAGATCAAGAGATACTAAAAAAATCAATCAATTTATTAATAATAAGTTTCATACACTCAAGAGGTAACCTAGGATAGACAAAGGTTACGAGCACATTCTTAAAGATAACTCTCACAGAAAAGATTATCAATTACAATGTAGAAGACTTACTTTAAAAAAAATAACTAGCATTACATAAATACTAAATTCAACTAGCCTCGTGATGAGAGCCAATGGTTGAGGAGTGGAATTTCAGATAAAAGGTCCAGGGTTCAAACCCTAGCACACCAAAAATATTGGTAATATTGTTGTCACACCCAAGGCCGATGGCGGAAATGTAAGGTTGTGCAACTTATTAAACATATATTGAATGGTACAAAATCAATATGAAAATATAAACTTCTATTATTATCGAAATAGAGATTACCTTGTCGTTGTCCACTAATACATTATCGAAGTACAACACATGCCTAACATTTATGAAATATAGAGCAACAATCAGAAGTTCCATGGGTCTTCAGTGTGTGTGTTCTTCCACCTGCTTATAATCCTGAGAATACATGTGTTTTGAAGATACATCAACATAAAGTTGGTGAGTTCCATAGGTTTTGACTCTACGTACTTTTATAACAAAAAGTGTACTTATTTCAACTGATTGATCAACTTATATAAAAAGTGTGAGTTCAGAGAGTATAAGTGATTACCTTACTTATGTGAATATTGTTGGATTAGGTGTCTAAGCTCAAACTATAATTGGTATGTACTTGAATTGATAGCAGCACAGTCCTTTTGGGTTGCCCTCAAACCTAGCAATTGGACAAGGAAATTATGAAATGGGAGAAATTAATTTATTATAAGACTAATAAATTAATATAAATGATTTATTAATGTGTTATGAAGATAATATATTAATTAGAAATCATAATATTTAATTAATAGTTAGCCAAAAATTAATTAGAATTAATTTTGGGGTTAATTGTATTTATTGTAAAGTATATGGACTAATATGCAATTATTAAATAGTTGGAAGGAATGTTTCAGAACCTCCTTGGAGGAGGTGGACGAAATTCATAGGGGAAACCCTAATGAATTCGTCCAAGGGCCTTGGATAAGGCTTCTGGATTTACATAGGCCCTAAGCAGGGGGAATCCTAGGGTTATCCCTTAAACCCTAGCTTTGGGGCTAAGTAACCTTGACTATTTAAGGATCCTCCTGTTGGGTTTTGAGCATTCTAACACTCCTAAGTGTACATGCAAGCCTAAATACCTTGGATCTATGTTTTCTCTATTATACATGCAAATATCAATTTCCAAGGTATTATCCTAACTAGCATATTATGAAGTATAAGTAATATAAAATCTAGTAGAATGACATACCTCTTTGTTGGTGTTTGATTCCATGGAGCTCAAGAGCCTAGTGCCCCAAGTGTGACACCTCAAATGGTTCACACAACACCATGAACATTTGGAATAACCATGAGAGAGGATATACATGTAAGAAATCGGCTTGCCCTCTTTTGTCTATGCACTAGTGCCAATTTCACCAACCAATGGGGTCTTTATATAGTGTGGCTATTAGGGTTACACCATGTAACTCATGACTTTACCCATTCCTTATGCTCTATGGGTTTTAACCTCCATGGAGTATCCATGGGTCACCACATGGGTTAAACCCAACATAAGGAATCATGGATCATAAGCCCACATATATAAGAATGAATGATTTACACAATCAATCCCCATATATTTAATTATCTCTTTTGGTCACTAAATTAATTCCAAATTAATTCTTGATCAATACTAATTAAATAACATGATTTCGTATTAATATATTAGAACTTATAATATATTAATATGTCACAAATATCCTCTTCTCACAAAAGGTCTACCCAAATGTTCCGATGCCATGCAACCCAAATGGACCATGTCGGGTCGGGTCAAGTATATACCAATTATAGTTATGAACTTAGACACTAATCCAACAGTCTCCCACTTGGATAAGTCTAATAACTATTATTGCAAGTACGACTTCATAACCCGACTAGCAATCGTAGCTCTTAAAAGCCGCTGTCGAACTCTGAACAAATCAATGATGCGTCCATTAGATAAGTGATCATATATTCTTCCATTCTAGATATCATATGGATTGAGACATGGATTATAATCATTCTCTCCGTCCATTTGTTGTTTCCTGATTTCCGATTTATGACGACTGACTAATTGAACAAATCAAATCCGTCCAGGCTTGGCCAAGCACTTAGGGGTGTCATCACTAAATCATCGAGGGGCCCACAGATATCGCTTTTATCCCTTTAAGGATAAAAGGAATGGATAAACTACTAACTCATATGCTTGTACTAACTACTTGTTGAATCATACACAAAGGCAGGTTTTATAACATCGAGTTACCAATGCGTTTTCATGCAATCAATGTATAACCAACTCATAGTCAAAAACTCATATCTCTAGGTTTGAAGAATATAAGATATTATCGTCTCATGATTCACTCGTGATAAAATCCATGAAGTGATTCAAATGAGCGTGGTTTAATCCAATACTCAGAACTTATGAGCACTCATGAATGCTGCAACAACTCTTGCTATATCCACTGCCTTGGACATCTACAAACCAGCTTCATGACAGTCTTGCCTTAATACCTACTTCCAACGTATTATCGACTGTGGATGGTTTGAATAACTTAGTCATTCAGGAAGAACGACCTAGTTATCCTGGAAGTCAAAACATGCAAATTGAAACACAAGAATAATATTTAATCCTATATGGCCCCAAACTCTTGAGTGTAAATAAAAACCCTTTTATCTAAGCACCATATTGATTACTCATTATTCATTGTTTCGATTTTATCAACTTTATACTTGAATTTAAAAACACTAGTTGTCCCATGCTCCAAGCATGTACACTATGTTTTTCTAAACACCAGTTATGCCATACACAAAGTATGCACACTATGTTTGTTTACGATCCTTACTTTGTGAAATAGATCGATTAAACATAATTCCAATGATTCTCATTTCACACTCCCAAATCCTTATCGAAAAATGTAAGAATTTCAAATTCCTTCCATTTACCGAAATTTGTTAGATTTTAAACTTATATGCACTGATCCTCTGTAATGATTATGCACAAAGTCACAAACACTTGTCACCAGACATTACAGAGTATTCCAATGGAGAGCAATTCCATGGAAACGAAGTCTCACATTCAAAGTACATTCCTTTGAACACCCTTCTTGCATTAAGTTCTCTAATCTTACACAGATTCAAAGAATAACTTCCACATATGGAGACAATTCCATATTCCCACTTTGACTATCACTTCTGAACAAGAGTTGCCTCCTTTCAGAATATGTTAATATGGTCCTATCTCTATACTTCCAATTGTCCATGAGCAACCAATCTTTGGCGAACCTCAGATTGTCCTCGACAATTGCTTAATCATTTTAGTCAAATCCAGTTCTATTCCTTTTT